TCCCTGCCTCATATATGCATTCCTGCCCCACATATGGGTCCCTGCCCCACACACGTGGGTCCCAGCCCCACACACGCGGGTCCCTACCCCACACGCGTATCCCTGCCCCACACACGCATCCCTGCCCCACACACGCATCCCTGCCCCACATACGCATCCCTGCCCCACATACACATCCCTGCCCCACATACACATCCCTGCCCCACACACGCATCCCTGCCCCACATACGCATCCCTGCCCCACACACGCATGCCCCTGCCCCACATCCCTGCCCCACACATGGGGCCACCCCACATGGGGCTGTGGGGCACATACGGCCCCACATACACATCCCTGCCCCACATACGCATCCCTGCCCCACACACGCATGCCCCTGCCCCACATCCCCCCATCAATGGGGCCACGGGGGCTCACTGTCCCCACAGCCTATCGGATCCATGTGAACGCCCGCACCGTCGCCATCTTGCACTCGCTGCAGGAGGGCTTCAAGCTGGACATCAGGGGCAAGACCGAGCTCAAGGTGACCCACAAGTGCCCCCTATGTGACCCACAAGTGCCCCACAAGGGCCCCACAAGTGCACCCCAAGTGCCCCATAAGTGCCCCCCAAGGGACCCATAAGTGACCTCCAAGTGCCCCCCCAAGTGCCCCACAAGTGCCCCATAAGTGACCTCCAAGTGCCCCCCAAGTGCCCCACAAGTGCCCCACAAGGGCCCCCCAAGTGCCCCATAAGTGACCTCCAAGTGCCCCCCAAGGAACCCACAAGTGCCCCCCAAGGGACCCCCAAGTGCCCCCTATGTGACCCACAAGTGCCCCACAAGTGCCCCCTAAGTGACCCCCAAGTGCCCCACAAGGGCCCCACAAGTGCCCCATAAGTGCCCCCCAAGTGCCCCACAAGTGCCCCACAAGTGCACCCCAAGGGACCCATAAGTGCCCCAACAGTGCCCCACAAGTGCCCCCTAAGTGACCCCCAAGTGCCCCATAAGTGCACCCCAAATGCCCCATAAGTGACCTCCAAGTGCCCCCCAAGTGCCCCACAAGTGCACCCCAAGTGCCCCATAAGTGACCTCCAAGTGCCCCCCAAGTGCCCCACAAGGGCCCCACAAGTGCTCCCCAAGGGACCCATAAGTGACCCCCCAAGTGCCCCATAAGTGACCTCCAAGTGCCCCCCAAGTGCCCCTCAAGTGCCCCACAAGTGCCCCATAAGTGACCTCCAAGTGCCCCACAAGTGACCCCCAAGTGCCCCCCAAGTGCACCCCAAGTGCCCCATAAGTGCCCCCCAAGGGACCCATAAGTGACCTCCAAGTGCCCCACAAGTGCCCCCCAAGTGCCCCATAAGTGACCTCCAAGTGCCCCCCAAGGGCCCCACAAGTGCACCCCAAATGCCCCATAAGTGACCTCCAAGTGCCCCCCAAGGGACCCATAAGTGCCCCACAAGGGCCCCCCAGGTGCCCCATAAGCAGCCCCCTGGCGCCTTCATTGGAGCCCCTCGGCCATTGAGGGATCCCATTGACTCCTTATTGCCCCATTGAGTCCTTATCACCCCCATTGAGTTCTTATTGCCCCCATTGAGTTCTTACTGCCCCCATTGGTTCCTCTTGCCCCATTGACCCCTATTGCCCCTTATATATTGCCCCCCATTGCCCCCATTGCCCCCATTGACCCCCCATAACTCCATTGATCCCCATTGCCTCCATTGTCCCCATTGGCCCCATTCCCCCCATTACGCCCTTTGCCTCCATTGACCCCCATTGCCCACATTGACCCCCATTACCCCATTGACCCCCATTGCCCCATTGACCCCCATTGCCCCCATTCCCCCCTTTACCCCCATTGACCCCCATTGACCCCCATTGACCCCCATTGCCTCCATTGCCCCCATTGCCCCCATTGCCCCCGTTGACCCCCATTACCCCCCATTGCCCCCATTGACCCCCATTGACCCCCATTGACCCCCATTGCCCCCCATTGCCCCCATTGCCCCCATTGCCCCCCATTGACCCCCATTCCCCCCTTTACCCCCATTGACCCCCATTGACCCCCATTGACCCCCCCCCACAGGGGAAGGGGGTGGAGGACACCTATTGGCTGGTTGGACGCGAGGGCTTCACCAAACCCATCCCCACCCCCCCGGACCTCCTGCCTGGGTGAGACCAAAGGGGGGGGCCCTATGGGGGGGTATTGGGGTCTATGGGGTGGATATGGGGGTCTATGGGGTGGATATGGGGGTCTATGGGGTGGATATTGGGGTCTATGGGGGGGTATTGGGCTCTATGGGGTGGATATTGGGGTCTATGGGGTGGATATGGGGTCTATGGGGTGGATATGGGGGTCTATGGGGGGGTATTGGGGTCTATGGGGTGGATATGGGGGTCTATGGGGTGGATATGGGGGTCTATGGGGTGGATATTGGGGTCTATGGGGTGGATATGGGGGTCTATGGGGTGGTAATGGTGTAAATGGGGTGGATATGGGCGAAAATGGGTGGGTAATGCCCTCTAATGGGTGGATATTGGGGTCTATGGGGTGGATATGGGGGTCTATGGGGTAGGGGGTCTATAGGGGGTCTATGGGGGGGTAATGGGGGTCTATGGGGGGGTTATGGGGCGCTATGGGGGGATATGGGGGTCTATGGGGTCTCTATGGGGGTCTATGGGGTGGATATGGGGGTCTATGGGGGGGTATTGGGGTCTATGGGGTGGGTATGGGGGTCTATGGGGTGGATATGGGGGTCTATGGGGGGGTATTGGGGTCTATGGGGGGGTATTGGGGTCTATGGGGTGGATATGGGGGTCTATGGGGTGGGGGGGTCTATGGGGGGGTTGGGGTCTATGGGGGGATATTGGGGTCTATGGGGGGGATATGGGGGTCTATGGGGGGGTATGGGGGTCTATAGGGGGTCTATGGGGGGTCTATGGGGGGGATATGGGGGGCTATGGGGGGGATATGGGGGTCTATGGGGGGATATGGGGGGGGTATGGGGGGGATATGGGGGTCTATGGGGGGGATATGGGGGTCTATGGGGGGGATATGGGGGGGATATGGGGGTCTATGGGGTGGATATGGGGGTCTATGGGGCGGACTTTGGTATCTATGGGGTGGATATGGGGGTCTATGGGACATAGGTGTCTATGGGGTGTCCATGGGGGGGGGGGTCTATGGGGCTGAAGGCGGGGCTCAGGCCCGCCCCATAGCGCCCCATTGCCTCCGCCCCACAGCGCCAGCAACCACGGCATCAGCCTGGACGAGATCCCGGCCGAGCGCAGGAGGAAGCTGGAGAAGGCGCGGCCGGGGCAGGTGCCCAAATAAGGCAGGTGAGGCCACGCCCCCTCCCCTCCCATTGGCTCAGACCCCTCCCAACAGGCTCCGCCTCCTCCAATAGGTTCCGCCCCCTCCAGCTGCCCATAGAGGTCAATGGCTCCTTGGAGGACTTACGGAGTCCTCCAGGACCATAGAGAGCAGCTCCAAGATGGCCGCTCTATCCCCAAATAGGGCCCTTCTCTATGGTTATAGGGCATAGAGTCCTCCAGGACCATAGAGAGCAGCTCCAAGATGGCCGCTCTATCCCAACACAGAGCCCTTCTCTATGGTCCTCCAAGGCCGCTCTGTCCCACCATGGAGCCCCCTCTATGGTTATAGGGCATAGAGTCCTCCAAGGCCATAGAGAGCTGCTCCAAGATGGCCGCTCTATCCCCAAATAGGGCCCTTCTCTATGGTCCTCCAAGGCCGCTCTGTCCCACCATGGAGCCCTCTCTATGGTTTTAGGGCATAGAGTCCTCCAAGACCATAGAGAGCTGCTCCAAGATGGCCGCTCTATCCCCAAACAGGGCCCTTCTCTATGGTCCTCCAAGGCCGCTCTGTCCTACCATGGTGCCCTCTCTATGGTTGTAGGGCATTAGAGTCCTCCAAGGCCATAGAGAGCTGCTCCAAGATGGCCGCTCTATCCCAACACAGAGCCCTTCTCTATGGTCCTCCAAGGCCCCTCTATCCCACCATGAAGCCCTCTCTATGGTTATAGGGCATAGAGTCCCCCAAGGTGGCCGCTCTATCCCCAAATAGGGCCCTTCTCTATGGTCCTCCAAGGCCCCTCTATCCCACCACAGCGCCCTCTCTATGGTTATAGGGCATAGAGTCCTCCAAGGCCATAGAGAGCTGCTCCAAGGTGGCCGCTCTATCCCCAAATAGGGCCCTTCTCTATGGTCCTCCAAGGCCGCTCTATCCCACCATGGTGCCCTCTCTATGGTTATAGGGCATGGAGTCCTCCAAGGCCATAGAGAGCTGCTCCAAGATGGCCGCTCTATCCCCAAATAGGGCCCTTCTCTATGGTCCTCCAAGGCCCCTCTATCCCACCACGGTGCCCTCTCTATGGTTATAGGGCATAGAGTCCTCCAAGATGGCCACTCTATCCCAACACAGAGCCCTTCTCTATGGTCCTCCAAGGCCCCTCTATCCCACCATGGTGCCCTCTCTATGGTTATAGGGCATAGAGTCCTCCAAGACCATAGAGATCAGGGCCTAGAGCACACCCCCCCCCCCATAGACAACAGCATAGAGCGCCCCCTAGCGGCCCCCTCCAACCCCTTGCAGGGACAGCAACTGCTCCGCTCTGATTGGTCGTCGCCCCCCACCCCCTCCAGTGACGTCACAGGAAGGCGACGCGCAGAGAGCCCGCTGGCGGCGGCCATCTTGGATCGACGCTCGATGGCGGCGGCCATCTTGGATCGAAGCTCGATGGCGGCAGCCATCTTGGATCGAAGCTCGATGGCGGCGGCCATCTTGGGCGGCCGCTCTTAAAGGGGCAACGGCTCCGTCGACCTCTGTGGTTCCCCCCCCATTTAAAGGGGCCCCATCCCCATTTAAAGGGGTTCCCCCCCCCCATTTAAAGCATAGACACCAAGAATTCACCCAAATCTCTTTGTTGCCTTTTTTTTTTTTGCCCCAAAACCACGGGTTTCGACCCCAAAACGGGGGCTCCGTCGTGGGGATGACGTCATCGGGGATGGGGGGGATGACGTCATCGGGGGGGGGGGTGACGTCATCTCACACCGTCCATTTGAGGCAGCTGGGGGGAAATGGGGGGGGGGACGGTTCATGTCAGCACGGGCCAGGATCCCATAGAGCGTTATCCCGTGTTATTCCCATGTTATCCCCATGTTATCCTGTGTATTCCCCCATGTTCTCCCCATGTTACCCCCATGTTCTCCCATGTTACCCCCCGTTCTCCACGTGTTACCCCCATGTTCTCCCCATGTTCCCCCATGTATTCCCCCCATGTTCTCCCCATGTCACCCCCATGTTCCCCCATGTATTCCCCCCATGTTCTCCCATGTTCTCCCCATGTTACCCCCATGTTACCCCCATGTTCCCCCATCTTCTCCCATGTTCTCCCCACGTTACCCCCATGTTCCCCCATCTTCTCCCATGTTCTCCCCATGTTCTGAATTAGTTTCCCCCATGTTCTCCCCATGTTCCCCCCATGTTTTCCCATGTTCTCCCCATGTTACCCCCTGTTCTCCACGTGTTACCCCCATGTTCTCCCCATGTTCTCCCCATGTTATCCCATGCACTCTCCCCCTGTTCTCCCCATGTTACCCCCACGTTCCCCCATGTTATCCCATGCATTCTCCCCATGTTCTCCCCATGTTATCCCCATGTTACCCCCATGTTCTCCCAATGTCATCCCATGTATTACCCCCATGTTCTCCCCATGTTCCCCCCCATTCCCCCCATGTTCTCCCCACGTTCTCCCCACGTTCTCCCCACGTTCTCCCCACGTTCTCCCCACGTTACCCCCATGTTCTCCCAATGTTATCCCATGTATTCCCCCCATGTTCTCCCCACGTTCCCCCCATGTTCTCCCCATGTTATCCCATGCATTCTCCCCATGTTCTCCCCATGTTACCCCCACGTTACCCCCATGTTCCCCCCCTGTTCTCCCCATGTTACCTCCATGTTCTCCCCATGTTATCCCATGTATTCCCCCCATGTTCTCCCCACGTTCCCCCCACGTTCCCCCCATGTTCTCCCCACGTTACCCCCATGTTATCCCATGTATTCCCCCCACGTTCTCCCCACGAATCCCCCCCGGCCCGTGGTTACCGCGTGTCCTGGTGGGTGCCGAGGCAGCGGGCGCAGCAGAAGCGAGCCCCACAGCTCACGCAGGTGTAGGCCGAGGGGAAGCCGCAGACGCTGCAGAAGTGGCGCTGGGGCCGGCGCGAGGGGCCCGCGCACGCAGACACGTACGTGGGACCCTCGGCAGCGCTCAGGCTCTGCGCCGGAAAGAGACGGAAACGGGGGAAAACGGGGGGGAAATGGGGGGAAAAAATGGGGGGAGAGAAAAATGGGGAAAAAGAGAAAAAATGGGGAAAAAGAGAGAAAAATGGGGAAAAGAGAAAAATGAAAAATGGGGGAAAAGAGAGAAAAATGGGGAAAGAGAGAAAAATGGGGGAAAAGAGAAAATTGGGCAAAAATGGGGGAAAAGAGAGAAAAATGGGGAAAAAGAGGGAAAAATGGGGGGAATGGGGGAAAAGAGAAGAGAGAAAAATGGGGAAAAAGGGAGAAAAATGGGGGGAAAAGGGAGAAAAAGGGGGAAAAAGGGAAAGGGGGAAAGGGGAAAAATGGGGGAAAAGAGAGAAAAATGGGGGAAAGAGAGAAAAATGGGGGAAAAGAGAGAAAAATGGGGGAAAAGAGAGAAAAATGGGGGAAAAGAGAGAAAAATGGGGGAAAAGAGAGAAAAATGGGGGAAAAGAGAGAAAAATGGGGGAAAAAGAGAGAAAAATGGGGGGAAAAGAGAGAAAAATGGGGGGAAAAGAGAGAAAAATGGGGGGAAAAGAGAGAAAAATGGGGGGAAAAGAGAGAAAAATGGGGGAAAATGGGGAAAATGGGGAAAAAGGAGGGGAAAAGGAGGGGAAAACGGGGAAAAAGGGGAAAATGGGGGAAAAGAGAGAAAAATGGGGGAAAAAGGGGGGGAAATGGGGGGGGAAATGGGGGAAAAGGGGCAAAAAATGGGGGGAAAAGAGAGAAAAATGGGGGAAAAAGGGAGAAAAATGGGGGGAAAAGAGAGAAAAATGGGGGAAAAGAGAGATGGGGGAAAATGGGGAAAAATGGGGAAAAAGGAGCGAAAAATGGGGAAAAGGATGGGAAAATGGGGAAAAGGATGGGAAAATGGGGAAAAGGATGGGAAAATGGGGAAAAGGATGGGAAAATGGGGGAAAAGGAGGGGAAAATGGGGGAAAAGGAGGGGAAAATGGGGAAAAGGAGGGGAAAAATGGGGAAAAATTGGGGAAAAATGGGGGAAAAAAGGGGGGAAAATGGAGCAAAAAATGGGGAAAAGGGGGGAAAATGGGGAAAAGGAGGGGAAAAAATGGGGAAAAATTGAGGGGAAAATGGGGAAAAGGAGGGGAAAAATGGGGAAAAGGAGGGGAAAAAAAAGGAGGGGAAAATGGGGAAAAAAAAATGGGGAAAAGGAGGGGGGGAAAAGGAGGGGAAATGGGGGAAAAGGAGAGAAAAATGGGGAAAAGGGAGGGGAAAATGGGGAAAAAGGAGGGGAAAATGGGGAAAAGGAGGGGAAAATGGGGAAAAGGGGGGGAAATGGGGAAAAGGAGAGAAAAATTGTCAAAAGGAGGGGAAAATGGGGAAAAGGAGGGGAAAATGGGGAAAAAAAGAAAAATGGGGAAAAAGGAGGGGAAAATGGGGAAAAAGGAGGGGAAAATGGGGAAAAAGGAGGGGAAAATGGGGGAAAGGAGGGGAAAATGGGGAAAAGGAGGGGAAAATGGGGAAAAGGAGGGGAAAATGGGGAAAAGGAGGGGAAAATGGGGAAAAGGAGGGGAAAATGGGGAAAAGGAGGGGAAAATGGGGAAAAGGAGGGGAAAATGGGGGAAAAGGAGGGGAAAATGGGGGAAAAGGAGGGGAAAATGGTTATAATGAGATCAAAAGGGGCCAAAAGGGGCCAAAAACGTGCAAAAAGGAGCTAAAAATGGGTATAATGAGATAAAAAGGGGGCAAAAGGAGCAAAAAACAAGCCAAAGGAGCTAAATATGGGCCAAAAAGAGCTAAAAATGGGCCAAACTGGGCAGAAAGGAGCTAAAAATGGGCCAAAATGGGCTAAAAAGGGCCAAAATGGGCCAAAAATGGTCAGAAAGGAGGTAAAAATAGGCAAAATGAGCCAAAAATGGGCAAATACAGGCTAAAAATGAGCTAAAACTGGGTGAAATGAGAACAAAATGGACCCAAAGTCACCCAAAATGGAGCCCCATAGACCCCCCATAGCCCCATAGACCCCCTATAGCCCCATAGCTGCCCCATAGCCCCCACCTGCTCCTCCAGCAGCGCCTGGAAGTTCTTGCGGAAGCGGAGCTTGAAGTGGTCCCCACGCGTCTTCTTCTTCTTCTTCCCTAGGGATGGGACCCATAGCGACCCATAGGGACCCATAGCGACCCATAGCGGCCCATAGGGACCCATAGCGACCCATAGGGACCCAATAGAGCCCCATAGACACCCAACAGAGCCCCATAGACACCCAATAGAGCCCCATAGACACCCAATAGAGCCCCATAGACACCCAATAGAGCCCCATAGACACCCATAGAGCCCCATAGACACCCAACAGAGCCCCATAGACACCCAACAGAGCCCCATAGACACCCAACAGAGCCCCATAGACACCCAACAGAGCCCCATAGACACCCAACAGAGCCCCATAGACACCCAATAGAGCACCCCAGACACCCAATAGAGCCCCACAGAGCCCCATAGACACCCAATACAGACCCATAGAGCCCCACAGACACCCCCTAGAGCCCCATAAACACTTTCTAGAACCCCCTAGACACTGAATAGAGCCCCACAGAGGCCCACAGACACCCAATAGAGCCCCATAGGCACCCAACAGAGCCCCCCAGAGCCCCATAGACACCCAACAGAGCCCCCCAGAGCCCCATAGACACCCATAGAGCCCCACAGAGCCCCACAGACACCCAATAGAGCCCCATAGACACCCATAGAGCCCCATAGACACCCAATAGAGCCCCACAGAGCCCCCTAGACACCCATAGAGCCCCATAGACACCCAATAGAGCCCCATAGACACCCCATAGAGCCCCATAGACACCCCACAGAGCCCCATAGACACCCAATAGAGCCCCATAGACACCCAACAGAGCCCCATAGACACCCAATAGAGCCCCCCAGGGGCCCGCACCGGTCTCGGCGGTGTCGGCGAAGTGCGGGAGGCGCTTGCCGGGCCGGGGCAGCCCCGCCTGGGGGTCGTCGCCGAAGTTGTCGTTCTCCAGGGCCTCGAGCTGGCGGTGGAGCCGGCGCTGCCGGGCGGCCCGGTCCAAAACCCGGCCGTGGGGGCCGTCCGGGAGGCGGCCTGCGGGGAAAGGGGGCGGTGAGAGGGGGGAATGGGGGGGAATGGGGGGAGAAATGGGGGGGAAGGGGGGGAAATGGGGGGAAATGGGGGGAAGAAAAGGGGAAAGGGGGGGAAAAGGGGAGAAAAGGAGGAAAGGGGAGGGCAGGAAGGGGGAAAAGTGGGGAAAGGGGAGGAAAAGACAAGAGGGGAAAGGGGGAAAAGTGGGGGAAAGGGGGGGGGAAAGGGAAAAGGGGGAAAGGGGGGAAAGTGAAAAAGGGGGCAAAAGGGGGGAAGGGGGAAAAGGGAGGAAAGGGGAGGAAAGGGGGGAAAAGAGGGGAAAAGGGGGGGAAGGGGAGACAAGAGGGGAAAGGGGGAAAAGTGGGGGGGGAAGAGGGAAAAGGGGGGAAAGAAGGAAAAGGGGGGAAAGGGGGGAAAGTGAAAAAGGGGGCAAAAGGGGGGAAGGGGGAAAAGGGGGGAAAAGAAGGGGGAAAAGAGGGGAAAAGGGGGGGAAGGGGAGACAAGAGGGGAAAAGGGGGAAAAGTGGGTGGGGAAGAGGGAAAAGGGGGGAAAGAAGGGAAAGGGGGGAAAGTGGGGGGAAGGAAAAAGGGGGCGAAAGGGGGAAAAGAAGGGGAAAAAGGGGGGGAGAAAAAATGGGAGAAAAGGGGGAGAAAGGGCGAAAAGGGGGAAAAACAGGAGAAAAGGGGGAGGAAGGGGGAAAAGGGGGAAAAATGGGGGGGAAAGGGGTGAAAAATGGGGGGGAAGGGGTGAAAAATGGGGGGGAAAGGGCGGAGAAAATGGGGAAAGAGGGGAAAACGGGGGGAAAGGGGGAAAAAGGGGGAAAAGAGGAAAAGAAGGGAAAAGGGGGAAAAATGGGGGAGAAAGTGGAAAAATGGGGGGAAAGGGGGAAAAGGGCGGAAAAAGGGGGGAAGGGGGAAGAAAAGAGGGGAAAAGAGGGGAAAAGGGGGGAAAAGAGGGGAAAACGGGGAAAAGGGTGGAAAAAGGGGGTGAAAAAGGGACGGGAGGGGAGCGGTACCGGGAGGCTTCTTCTCCACCATCGCTGAGGCGGCTTCCGGTTTGGGAGGCGGGGGCTTCCGGTGAGGAGGGGCTTCCGGTGTGAGGCGTGGGGAGGCGCCATGTTGAGTGTGGCAGCGTGGCGAGGCGGGCGCCGCCATCTTGAGTGTGGCCTCGTCGTGGAGCCGCCATCTTGAGTGTCGTAAGAAGGGAGCCGCCATGTTGAGTGTGGCACCGTGGTGATTAAGGCGCCGCCATCTTGAGTGTGGCACCGTCAACTTAAGAAGGGAGCCACCATGTTGAGTGTGCCACCGTGGTGAGATGGGCGCCGCCATCTTGAGTGTGTCGCCGCCCCATAATCCCTCTGGGCTGGGAAGAGGAGGGGTTGTGAAGGGAGGGAGGCCTCCAGGAGGGAGGTGGGGTGGGCGCTCTGTCTTCGTCTCTATGGTCTCGGGGGGGGGGGGGCTCCTAGAGGGGGGCCTGCAGTGGTGTTGGGGGTCACTCTCTATGGGGTTGGAGGACTTGATGCCCTGTGACCGTAGAGAAGGGCATCGGCAGCCATAGGCCCCCGTACGGAGCGCCATTGCTGGCGGCACAGCGCCTCTCTAGGCCAAACCGCCGCCTTCTCTATGGTTCCGGAGGCCTCCGCGCCGCCATCTTGAGCGTGGCGCCGCCATCTTAAGCGTGGCGCCGCCATCTTGGTAGCGTCGCCCCGCCCCTTCCCTCCTTTGCCCCGCCCCTTCCCCCCCCCTCCCCAGCCAACGTGGCAACGCGCCGCGATTGGGCGGGCGCCGCCGTGAGCCGCCCCCTGATTGGCCGGCGCCGTCCGCAGGCCCCGCCCCTCCGCCCCGGTGCCCGCCATGGCCCCGCTGCTGCTCCTGCTCCTGGCGCTGCCGCCGCCCGCGGCCCTCGGGGACCTCCGGCCCGGTAGGGGGCGACGGAGAGGGGGGGGCGTCTATGGGGGGGGTCTGTGGGGTTTCTATGGGGTCTATAGAGGCCTCTTATGGGTCTCTGTGGGGTCTATGGGGTCTCTAGAGGTCTCTATGGGGCTCTAGGGGGGTCTGTGGGGGGTCTATAGTTCTCTATGGGGTTTCTGTGGGGTCTATAGAGGTCTCTGTGGGGTCTATGGGTGGTCTATGGGGCTCTAGGAGTGTCTGTGGGGCGTCTATGGGGTCTCTATGGGGTCTACAGAGGTCTCTGTGGTGGTCTATGGGGTGTCTATGGGGTCTATAGAGGTCTCTATGGGGTCTATGGGGGTGTCTATGGGGTGTCTATGGGGGGGGTCTGTGGGGTTTCTATGGGGTCTATAGAGGCCTCTTATGGGTCTCTCTGGGGTCTATGGGGCGTCTATGGGGGTCTATGGGGTCTCTAGAGGTCTCTATGGGGCTCTAGGGGTGTCTGTGGGGGGTCTATAGTTCTCTGTGGGGGTCTATGGGGTCTATAGAGGTCTCTGTGGGGTCTATGGGGCTCTAGGAGTGTCTGTGGGGCGTCTATGGGGTCTCTGTGGGGTCTACAGAGGTCTCTATGGGGTCTATGGGGGGGTCTATGGGGTGTCTATGGGCAGGTCTGTGGGTTTTCTATGGGGGTCTATAGAGGTCTCTTATGGGTCTCTGTGGGGTCTATGGGGGGGGATCTATGGGCGTCTCTGGGGTCTATAGAGGTCTCTTATGGGTCTCTCTGGGGTCTATGAGTGGTCTATGGGGTCTATAGAGGTCTCTATGGGGCTCTAGGGGTGTCTGTGGGGCATCTATGGGGTCTATGGGTGGTCTATGGGGTCTTTATGTGGCTCTATGGGGTCTCTAGAGGTCTCGATGGGGTCTATGGGTGGTCTGTGGGTCTCTAGGGTTATCTGTGTGGCTCTATGGGGCTTCTATGGGGTCTATAGGGGTCTCTATGGGGCTCTAGGAGTGTCTGTGGGGCATCTATGGGGTGTCTATGGGGTCTATAGAGGTCTCTAAGGGTGTCTATAGTTCGCTATGGGGTCTGTGGGGTCTTTATGTGGCTCTATGGGGTCTCTGTGGGGGGTCTATGGGGCTCTAGGGGGTGGCTGGGGGTCTGTAGTTCTCTCTGGTGGTCTATGGGGTCTATAGAGGTCTCAAAGGGCTCTATGGGGTGGTCTATAGTTTGCTATGGGGGTCTGTGGGGTCTTTATGGGGCTCTATGGGGTCTCTGTGGGGGTCTATGGGGTCTATAGAGGTCTCCATGGGGCTCTATGGGGGTCTATAGTTCACTATGGGGATCTATGGGGTCTCTAAGTGTCTCTGGGGGTGTCTATGGGTGGTCTATGGTGGGGTTGGTGGGGTCTATGGGGCTTATGAAGCTTCTATGGGGTCTAATGGTCTCTATGGGGCTCTAGGGGTGTCCAAAGGGGGATCTAGGGGGGTTTATAGAGGTCTCTGTGGGTGTCTATGGGGGGGTTATGGGGCTCTATGGGGCTCTCTCGGGTCTCTATGGGGTTCTATGGTGGTCTATGGGGTCTCCATGGGGTCTCTATGGGTGGTCCATGAGCTCAATGGGGCCATAACGGGGGTGAATGGGTCTCTATGGGCCTCTATGGGTGTCTATGGGGTCTCTATGGGTCCCAGTGGGTGTCTATGGGGTCTCTATGGGTCCCAATGGGTCTCTATGGGGTCTCTATGGGACCCAATGGGTGTCTATGGGGTCTCTATGCGTCCCAATGGGTGTCTGTGGGGTCTCTATGGGTCCCAATGGGGTCTCTATGGGTCCCAATGGGTCTCTATGGGGTCTCTATGGGTCTCTATGGGTCCCAATGGGTCTCTATGGGTCCCAATGGGTCTCTATGGGTCCCAATGGGTCTCTATGGGTCCCAATGGGTCTCTATGGGGTCTCTATGGGTCCCAATGGGTCTCTATGGGTCCCAATGGGTCTCTATGGGATCTCTATGGGGTTTCTATGGGTCCCAATGGGTCCCAATGGGTCTCTATGGGTCTCTATGGGTCTCCTGTGCCCCCCGGCAGAGCAGCTCCTGGTGCTGACGGTGGCCACGGAGGCCACGGAGGGCTACGAGCGGTTCCTGCGCTCGGCGCAGCGCTTCAACTACAGCGTCAAGGTGGGGGGGGGGCGCTATGGGGCGGACCCATAAGTGGGGGGCGAGGAATGAATGGGGGCGGAACTAATGGAGGGGAGAGTGGGAGGGAGAGGGGGACGGGAATGCAGGGGGGACCAATGGAGGGGTGGGGAGTAATGGGGGAGGAGCCAATGGGGGGGAACCAATGGGGAGAGGAACCAATGGGGGGGAACCCATGGAGCAGGGGAGCAATGGGGAAGGGACACCAATGGGGGCGGAGCCAATGGGGGGGAACCAATGGGAGGGGGAACCAATAAAGGGGGGGACCAATGGGGTGAACCAATGGAGGGGGGACCAATGGGGTGGAACCAATGGGGATGGGAACCCAATGGGGGGGAACCAATGGGAGGGGGAACCAATAAAGGGGGGGACCAATGGGGAAGGGAACCCAATGGGGGGACCAATGGGGTGAACCAATAGAGGGGGTACCAATGGGGGGAACCAATGGGGAGGACCAATGGGGTGAACCAATAGAGGGGGGACCAATGAGGCGGAAGCAATGGAGGGGGGGAACCAATGGGGGGACTCAATAAAGGGGTGGAACCAATGGGGAGAGGAACCAATGGGGGGGAACCCATGGAGCAGGGGAGCAATGGGGAAGGGACACCAATGGGGGGCGGAGCCAATGGGGGGAACCCATGGGGAGAGGAACCAATGGGGTGAACCAATGGAGGGGGGACCAATGGGGTGGAACCAATGGGGATGGGAACCCAATGGGGGGGAACCAATGGGAGGGGGAACCAATAAAGGGGGGGACCAATGGGGAAAGGAACCCAATGGGAGGGACCAATGGGGTGAACCAATAGAGGGGGGACCAATGGGGCAGAAGCAATGGGGATGGGAACCCAATGGGGGGGACCAATGGGGTGAACCAATAGAGGGGGGACCAATGGGGGGGAACCAATGGGGATGGGAACCCAATGGGGGGGACCAATGGGGTGGCACCAATGGGGATGGGAACCCAATGGGGGGACCAATGGGGTGAACCAATAGAGGGGGTACCAATGGGGGGGACCGATGGGGTTAACCAATAGAGGGGGGACCAATGGGGGGAACCAATGGGGAGGACCAATGGGGTGAACCAATAGAGGGGGGACCAATAGGGCAGAACCAATGGAGGGGGGACCAATGGGGCGGAACCAATGGAGGGGGGGGAACCAATGGGGGGACCCAATAAAGGGGTGGAACCCAATGGGGGGGAACCAATGGGGGAGGAACCAATAGAGGGGGGGACCAATGGGAGGAGGAATCAATAAGAGGGGGGACCCATACGGGAAGGGAACCCAATGGGGGGACTCAATGAGGGGGGGACCAATGGCGGCAGGGGGGGAACCAATGGGGAGGGACCCAATAGAGGGGGGAACCAATGGGGAGGGATCCAATAGAGAGGGGGACCAATGGGGGGACCCAATACAGGGGGGAACCCAATGGGGAAGGGAATAAAATGGCAGAACCCAATGGGGGGGGAACCAATGGGGGACCCAATTGATGGGGGAACCAATAGGAAGGAACCAATTGGGGGGGGGGTACGATACCCAATGGGAGGGGGAATTTAATGAGGGGGGGGAGAAAGGAACCAATGGGGAGGGAGACCCCGGGGGGGGGGGCTTATGGCATGGGAACCCAGTGAGGAGGAACCAATAGAGGGGGGGAACCAATGGGGGGGCCCTTTGGGGGGGGAACACAACAGAGGGATGGACCAATGGGGGGAACCAAGGGGGGGGGGGGGGGGGAAGCAATGGGGGGACCCAATAAGGGGGGGAGCCAATGGGGGGGGGAGAGCAATAGAGGGGGGGACCCCTTTGGGGGGGGAACACAACAGAGGGATGGACCAATGGGGGGGGGGGGGAGCAATGGGGGAGGAACCAATAGAGGGGGGGAACCAATGGGGGGGGCTCAATGAGGGGGAACCTAACAGAGGGGGTGGACCAATGGGGGGGAGGGGGAGTAAAGGGGGGACCCAATAAGGGGGGGACCAATGGGAACCGGGGGGGGGGGGGAGAGCAATGGGGGGTACCCAATAAGGGGGGGACCAATGTGGGAGGAACCAATGGGGGGGGAACCCAATGGGAGGGGGAACTCAAAGGGGGGGGGGGGGGGAACCCAATAAAGGGGGGGGGGACCCAATGGGCAGCTAAGGGGGGTGTGGAAGGAACCAATAGGAAAGGGGGGGTCGGGTCTTGATGGCGGTGTCCCCTCAATATCGCTCCCCCCCTCCCCCCCCCTTTGTTCCCCCCCCCCCCCCCCCGTTTGCCCCGTTCCAGACGCTGGGAATGGGTCAGGAATGGCGGGGGGGGGACGTGGCCCACACGGTGGGGGGGGGGCAGAAGGTTCGGTGGCTCAAGGAGGCCCTGGAGCCCCTGAAGGCGAGGGGGGAGCTCCTCGTGCTCTTCGTGGACAGGTGGGGGCGCTATGGGGTGCGCTGTGGGGGGGGTGCTATGGGGGGTCTATGGGGTTGTGCTATGGGGGGGTGCTGTGGGGGGTCTATGGGGTTCTGCTATGGGGTGTGAGATGGGGGGTGCTATGGGGGGGTGCTATGGGGCGTCTATGGGGTTGTGCTATGGGGTGTGTGCTGGGGGAGGGTCTATGGGGGGTCTATGGGGTTGTGCTATGGGGTGTGAGATGGGGGGGTGCTATGGGGGGTCTATGGGGTGTGCGCTATGGGGGGGTGCTGTGGGGAGGTCTATGGGGTTGTGCTATGGGGTGTGTGTTGGGGGTCTAGGGGGGGGTGTGCTTGGGGGGTCTATGGGGTGTGCTGTGGGGGGGTCTATGGGGTGTGCTATGGGTGTGTGCTGTGGGGGGTCTATGGGGTGTGCGCTATGGGGGGGTGCTGTGGGGAGGTCTATGGGGTTGTGCTATGGGGTGTGTGTTGGGGGTCTGGGGGGGGTGTGCTTGGGGGGTCTATGGGGTGTGCTGTGGGGGGGTCTATGGGGTGTGCTATGGGTGTGTGCTGTGGGGGGTCTATGGGGTTGTGCTATGGGGGGCTGCTGTGGGGGGGGTCTATGGGGTGTGCTGTGGGGGGGTGGTAGGGGGGATCTATGGGGTTGTGCTATGGGGTGTGCTGTGGGGGGTCTATGGGGTTTTGCTATGGGGGGTCTGGGGTTGTGCTATGGGGTGTGTGTTGGGGGGGTCTATGGGGTGTGCTGTGGGGGTGCTGTGGGGGGGGTCTATGGGGTGTGCTGTGGGGGGTCTATGTGGGGTGTGCGCTATGGGGGGTGCACTATGGGGGGGTCTATGGGGTGTGCTGTGGGGGGCGTCTATGGGGGGTGTTCTATGCGGGGCCTGGCTGGTCTAGGGGGGGATCTGTGGGGGCCTATGGGGCGGTCTGTGAGTGTCTATGGGGGAGTCTCGGGGGGGGGGGCTGTGGGGGGCTTATGGGGCATCTGGGGGGGGATCTGTGGGGTGGGTGTGGAACTCAAGGGGGGTCTATGGGGTTTCTAGGGGTCCCTATGTATCCCTATGGGGCCCCCCACATCCCCCTATGTATCTCTGTATGGGGTCTCTATAGGGCTCTATGAGTGTCTCTATGGGGTCTCTATGGGTCTCTCTATGGGGTCCCTATAGGGCTCTATGGGTCTCTCTATGGGGCTCCAGATGGGGTCCCTATAGATCCCTATGTATCTCTCTATGGGGTCTCTATAGGGTCATATGGGTCTCTCTATGGGGTCTCTATGGGGCTCTATGGGTCTCCTGATGGGGTCCCTATAGATCCCTATGTATTTCTCTATGGGGTCTCTATAGGGTCCTATGGGTCTCTCTATGGGGTCTCTATAGGGCTCTATAGGTTTATGGGGTCCCTATAGGTCCCTATGTATCTCCCCATGGGGTCCCTATAGGGCTCTATGGGTCTCTATAGGTCCCCATAGGTCTCTCTGCGTCCCCCCCATCCCTCCCTGTATAATCCCCCTATGGGGTCTCTGTAGGGTCTCTCTATGGGGTCTCTATGGGGTCCCTATAGGGCTCTATGTGTCCCTATGGGGTCCCCATGGGGTCTCTATAGCTCTCTATGGGTCTCTATGGGGTCCCTACAGGGCTCTATGGGTCTTTATAGGTCCCTATGGGTCTCTTTGTGGGGTCCCTATAGGGCTCTATGGGTCTCTATAGGTCCCTATGGGTTTCTCTACGGGTCTCTCTATGGGGTCCCTATAGGGCTCTATGGGTCTCTGTAGGTCCCTATGGGTTTCTCTATGGGTCTCTCTATGGGGTCCCTATAGGGCTCTATGGGTCTCTATGGGTCTCTCTATGGGGTCCCTATAGGGCTCTATGGGGTCCCTATGGGTCCCTATGGTCCCTATAGGGCTCTATGGGTCCCTATGGGTCTCTCTATGGGTCTCTATAGGGCTCTATGGGTCCCTATGGGGTCTCTCTATGGGGTCCCCATAGATCCCCATAGGTCTCTCTCCGCCCCCCCCACCCCTCCCTATATAACCCCGCTATGGGGTCTCTATAGGGTCTCTCTATGGGGTCCCTATAGGGCTCTATGGGTCTCTATGGGTCCCTATGGGTCTCTCTATGGGGTCCCCATAGATCCCCATAGGTCTCTCTCCGCCCCCCCATCCCTCCCTATATAATCCCCCTATGGGGTCTCTATAGGGTCTCTCTATGGGGTCCCTATAGCTCTCTATGGGTCCCTATGGGTCTCTCTATGGGTTCCCCATAGATCCCCATAGGTCTCTCTCCGCCCCCCCATCCCTCCCTATATAATCCCCCTATGGGGTCTCTATAGGGTCTCTCTATGGGGTCCCTATAGCTCTCTATGGGTCCCTATGGGTCTCTCTATGGGGTCCCTATAGGGCTCTATGGGTCCCTATGGGTCTCTCTATGGGTTCCCCATAGATCCCCATAGGTCTCTCTCCGCCCCCCCACCCCTCCCTATATAACCGCGCTATGGGGTCTCTATAGGGTCTCTCTATGGGGTCCCTATAGGGCTCTATGGGTCCCTATGGGTCTCTCTATGGGGTCTCTATGGGGTCCCTATAGGGCTCTATGTGTCCCTATGGGGTCCCCATGGGGTCTCTATAGTTCCCTATGGGGTCTCTATAGGGCTCTATGTGTCCCTAGGGGTCTCTTTATGGGGTCCCTTTATGGGGTCCCTATAGCTCTCTCTATGGGTCCCTATGGGTCTCTCTATGGGGTCCCTATAGGGCTCTATGGGTCTCTATGGGTCTCTCTATGGGGTCCCTATAGAGCTCTATGTGTCCCTATGGGGTCCCCATGGGGTCTCTATAGGTTCCTATGGGTTTCTCTATAGAGCTCTATGTGTCACTATGGGGTTTCTATAGGTCCCTAGGGGTCTCTTTATGGGGTCCCTATAGCTCTCTCTATGGGTCTCTCTATGGGGTCCCTATAGGGCTCTATGGATCTTTATAGGTCCCTATGGGTCTCTCTATGGGGTCCCTATAGGGCTCTATGGGTCCCTATGGGTCTCTCTATGGGGTCCCTATAGGGCTCTATGGGTCTCTATGGGTCCCTATGGGTCTCTCTATGGGTTCCCCATAGATCCCCATAGGTCTCTCTCCGCCCCCCCACCCCTCCCTATATAACCCCGCTATGGGGTCTCTATAGGGTCTCTCTATGGGGTCCCTATAGGGCTCTATGGGTCCCTATGGGTCTCTCTATGGGTCCCTATGGGTCTCTCTATGGGGTCCCTATGGGTCCCTATGGGTCTCTCTATGGGTCTCTATGGGTCCCTATGGGTCTCTCTATGGGTTCCCCATAGATCCCCATAGGTCTCTCTCTGCCCCCCCCACCCCTCCCTATATAACCCCGCTATGGGGTCTCTATAGGGTCTCTCTATAGGGCTCTATGGGTCCCTATGGGTCTCTCTATGGGTCCCCATAGATCCCCATAGGTCTCTCTCCGCCCCCCACCCCTCCCTATATAACCGCGCTATGGGGTCTCCGCTGCCCGCCCCCAGTTATGACGTGCTCCTGACCGCTCCGCCCCCGGAGCTCGTCTCCTCCTTCGCCGCTGCCGCCGGCGGTGCCTCCCTCCCCGGGCTCCTGTTCTCGGCCGAGGCCTTTTGCTGGCCCCAACCCGCTCTGGCCGGTGCCTACCCCAGCCCCCCAGCCCGCGGGAAGCCCTTCCTCAACTCCGGAGGTATGGGGGGGGCTATGGGGGGGAATAGGGGGGCTATGGGGGGGGAATGGGGGGGAATGGGGTGGGGATGGGGTTCTATGGGGTGGGGATGGGGGGCTATGGGGTGGGAATGGGGTTCTATGGGGGGGAATGGGGTGGGAATGGGGTTCTATGGGGGGGCTATGGGGTGGGATGGGGCTCTATGGGGTGGGAATGGGGGGAAATGGGGGGTGCTATGGGGTGGGGATGGGGTTCTATGGGGTGGGGATGGGGGGCTATGGGGCGGGGATGGGGGGCTATGGGGTGGGGATGGGGGGCTATGGGGGGGGAATGGGGTTCTATGGGGTGGGGGGGGATGGGGGGGGAAATGGGGGGGGGGGTGGGAATGGGGGTGAGGGGGATGGGGTGGGTGGGAATGGGGGGGGGATGGGGGGGAATGGGGGGGGATGGGGTTCTATGGGGGGGCTATGGGGTGGGAATGGGGGGGATGGGGGGTGGGATGGGGGGGATGTGGGGTGGGAATGGGGGTGAGGGGTGGGAATGGGGATGTGGGGTGGGAATGGGCATGTGGGGGATGTGGGGTGGGAATGGGGATGTGGGGGATGTGGGGTGGGAATGGGGGTGAGGGGTGGGAATGGGCATGTGGGGAATGTGGGGTGGGAATGGGGGTGAGGGGGATGTGGGGTGGGAATGGGGGTGAGGGGTGGGAATGGGCATGTGGGGATGGGGGTGGGAATGGGGGGGGGTGGGGGGATGTGGGGTGGGGGATGGGGGGAGGGGTGGGAATGGGGGGGGTGGGATGTGGGGAATGTGGGGGGGAATGGGGGTGGGGGGATGGGGGGAATGGATGGGGGGGATGGGGTGGGAATGGGGGGGGGGTGGGGGGGATGGGGGTGGGGTGGGGGGATGGGGTGGGAATGGGGATGGGGGGGGGGGAATGGGGTGTGGGGGATGGGGGTGGGAATGGGGGTATGGGGTGGGAATGGGGGTGGGGGATGTGGGGTGGGAATGGGGGGGGGGGGGAATGGGGTGGGAATGGGGGGGATGGGGTGGGAATGGGGTGGGGGATGGGGGTGGGGTGGGGGGGATGGGGGTCTATGGGGGGGGGGGTGGGGGGGGATGGGGGTGGGGGGGAATGGGGGGGAATGGGGCTGGGGGGTCTAATGGGGTGGGATGGGGGGATGGGGTTCTATGGGGGGGCTATGGGGGGGATGGGGTTCTATGGGGGGGCTATGGGGTGGGAATGGGGGGGATGGGGTTCTATGGGGGGGCTATGGGGTTCTATGGGGTGGGAATGGGGGGGATGGGGTTCTATGGGGTGGGGATGGGGTTCTACGGGGGCTATGGGGTGGGATGGGGTTCTATGGGGGGGGGATGGGGTTCTATGGGGGGGAATGGGGTTCTATGGGGGGGGATGGGGGGGCTATGGGGTGGGGATGGGGTTCTATGGGGTGGCGATGGGGGGGGTATGGGGTGGGAATGGGGAGGCTATGGGGGGGAATGGGGTGGGAATGGGGGGTGATGGGGTTCTATGGGAGGGCTATGGGGTTCTATGGGGTGGGAATGGGGGGGAATGGGGTTCTATGGGGTGGGGATGGGGGGGGAATGGGGGCTATGGGGGGGGAATGGAATGGGGATGGGGGGATGGGGGGGTATGGGGTTCTATGGGGGGATATAGGGGGGGATGGGGGGGAATGGGGGGTATGGGGAGGGAATGAGGCTCAGTGGGTGTCAATGGGTGTCAATGGGGCTCAATGGGGGTCAGTGGGGCTCAGTGGGGGTCAATAGGTTCAATGGGGCTCAATGTGGGTCAATGGGTGTCAATGGGGGTCAATGGGGCTCAATGGGTGTCAATAGATTCAATGGGGCTCAATGGAGGTCAATGGGTGTCAGTGGGGTTCAGTGGGGCTCAACGGGTGTCAATAGGTTCAATGTGGCTCAATGGGGATCAATGGGGCTCAATGGGTGTCAATGGGTGTCAGTGGGGTTCAATGGCTGTCAATGGGGCTCAGTGGGTGTCAGTAGGGTTCAATGGGGCTCAATGGGGATCAATGGGGCTCAATGGGGTTCAATGGGTGTCAATGGGGCTCAATGGGTGTCAATGGGGCTCAATGGGTGTCAATGGGGATCAATGGGGCTCAATGGGTGTCAATGGGGCTCAATGGGTGTCGAAGGGGCTCAATGGGTGTCAATGGGGCTCAATGGGTGTCAATGGGTGTCAATGGGGCTCAATGGGGATCAATGGGGCTCAATGGGTGTCAATGGGGCTCAATGGGGTCAATGGGGCTCAATGGGTGTCAATGGGGCTCAATGGGGCTCAATGGGTGTCAATGGGGCTCAATGGGTGTCAATGGGGCTCAATGGGTGTCAATGGGGTTCAATGGGTGTCAATGGCGGTCAATGGGGCTCAATGGGTGTCAATGGGGTTCAATGGGTGTCAATGGGTGTCAATGGGGCTCAATGGGTGTCAATGGGGCTCAATGGGTGTCAATGGGGCTCAATGGGTATCAATGGGGCTCAATGGGGGTCACTCCCCCCCCAGGCTTCATTGGCTTCGCCCCCGCCATCTGGCGCCTGGTCGAGAGGTGGCGCTATCGCGACGACGACGACGACCAGCTCTTCTATACCCGCCTGTACCTGCAACCCCAGCTGCGGGTGAGCCCCCAAAAACACCCCAAAAACACCCAAAAACGGGCAAAAACACCCCAAAAATGCCATAAAACACCCCAAAATACCCCAAAATACCAAAAAACCGCTCGAAAATAGCCCCAAAATGGCCTGAAATAGCCCCAAAACGGCTCTTCTATACCCGCCTGTACCTGCAGCCCCAGCTGCGGGTGAGCCCCCAAAAACACCCCAAAAACACCCAAAAACGGGCAAAAACACCCAAAAAACGCTAGAAAACACCCCAAAATACCCCAAAATGCAAAAAAAACCGCTCGAAAATAGCCCCAAAATGGCCTGAAATAGCCCCAAAACGGCTCTTCTATACCCGCCTGTACCTGCAGCCCCAGCTGCGGGTGAGCCCCCAAAAACACCCAAAAACGGGCAAAACCACCCCAAAAAACGCTAGAAAACACCCCAAAATACCCCATAATGCCAAAAAAACGCTCGAAAATAGCCCCAAAATGGCCTGAAATAGCCCCAAAACGGCTCTTCTGGACCTGCAGCCCCAGCTGCGGGTGAGCCCCCCAAAACACCCCAAAAACACCCAAAAACGGGCAAAACCACCCAAAAAACGCTAGAAAACACCCCAAAATACCCCAAAACGCCAAAAAACCGCTCGAAAATAGACCCAAAATCGCCTGAAATAGCCCCAAAACTGCTCTTCTATACCCGCCTGTACCTGCAGCCCCAGCTGCGGGTGAGCCCCCAAAAACACCCCAAAAACACCCAAAAATGGGCAAAAACACCCAAAAAAACGCTAGAAAACACCCCAAAATACCCCAAAATGCCAAAAAAACGCTCGAAAATAGCCCCAAAATGGCCTGAAATAGCCCCAAAACGGCTCTTCTGGACCTGCAGCCCCAGCTGCGGGTGAGCCCCCAAAAACACCCCAAAAACGGGCAAAAACACCCCAAAAACGCTAGAAAACACCCCAAAATACCCCAAAATGCCAAAAAAACTCTCGAAAATAGCCCCAAAATCGCCTGAAATAGCCCCAAAACAGCTCTTCTGGACCTGCAGCCCCAGCTGCGGGTGAGCCCCCCAAAACCACCCCAAAATGGGCAAAACTACCCCAAAAACGCCAGAAAACACCCCAAAATACCCAAAAATGGCAAAAAAACGCTCGAAAATAGCCCCAAAATCGCCTGAAATGGCCCCAAAATCGACCTAAACCAGCCCAAAACAGCCCTATAGCACCCCATTTCCCCCCCATAGGACCCCATTCCCCCCCTATAGAACCCCATTCCCCCCCATAGAACCCCATTACCCCCCATAGGACCCCATTACTCCCCCTCTAGCACCCCATTTCCCCCCCATAGAACCCCATTATCCATTATAGAACCCCATTCCCCCCCATAACACCCCATTCCCCCCTATAGAACCCCATTACCCCCCCATTACCCCCCCATAGGACCCCATTTCCCCCCTATAGAACCCCATTCCCCCCATAGAACCCCATTACCCCCCCATAGGACCCCATTATTATTTATCCCCATTTCCCCCCCCATAGGACCCCATTACCCCCCTATAGAACCCCATTCCCCCCATATAGAACCCCATTACCCCCTATAGAACCCCATTACCCCCCCATAGGACCCCATTCCCCCATAGAACCCCATTCTCTGCCTATAGAACCCCAATACCCCATTACCCCCCATAGAACCCCATTCTCCACCTGTAGAACCCTATTACCCCCCTATAACATCCCATTCCCCCCCATAGAACCCCATTCCCCCCCCATAGATCCCCATTCCCCCCCATAGAACCCCATTACCCCCCATAGAACCCCATTAACCCCCATAGAACCCCATTACCCCCCCATAGAACCCCATTCCCCCCCATAGAACCCCATTACCCCCCCATAGAACCCCATTACCCCCCATAGAACCCCATTACCCCCCCATAGAACCCCATTACCCCCCATAGAACCCCATTACCCCCTATAGAACCCCATTACCCCCCCATAGGACCCCATTATCCATTATAGAACCCCATTTTCCCCCCATAGGACCCCATTTCCCCCCCATAGAACCCCATTTCCCCCCTATAGAACCCCATTTCCCCCCTATAGAACCCCATTCCCCCCCTTTAGAACCCCATTCCCCCCCTATAGCCCCCCAATAACCCCCCATTGTTCCCTATAGGAAGAGCTGGGGCTGGCCCTGGATCATCATTCCCGCATCTTCCAGAACCTCAATGGAGCCATAGGTACCAATGGGGGGGGGTGGTGGGGGGGGTCCTATGGGGGTCCCTATACCCCCCCCCCCATAGGACCCCCCCATAGGACCCCATTTCCCCCCCCCATAGACGAGGTCGTGGTCAAGTTCGAGCCGGGGCGCGTGCGGGTCCGCAACGTGGCCACCGATTCCCTGCCCGTTGTGATCCATGGCAACGGCCCCACCAAGGTGAGGACCCCCCAAAAACGGCCTTTCTGCACCCAAAAACCCCCTTTGGGGGGTCAAAAACGGCTTTGGGGGGCCCAAAAATGGGTCCGGGCACCCCAAAAACCCCCCCGGGGACACCAAAATTGCTCTTTTGGGACCCAAAATCACAGCTGGGGACCCAAAATCGGGTCTGGGGCCCCAAAACTGCTCTTTTAGGACCCAAAATTGCCCCTTTAGGACCCAAAATGGGGTCTAGGCACCTAAAATTGCTTTTTTAGCACCCAAAATTGCCCTTTTAGGACCCAGAATCGGGTCTGGGGACCCAAAATTGCTCTTTTAGGACCCAAAATCGGGTCTGGGGACTCAAAATTGCCCTTTTAGGACCCAGAATCGGGTCTGGGGACCCAAAATTGCCCTTTTAGGACCCAAAATCAGGTCTGGGGACCCAAAATTGCTCTTTTAGGACCCAAAATTGCCCTTTTAGGACCTAAAATTGCCCTTTTAGGACCCAAAATCAGGTCTGGGGACCTAAAATTGCTCTTTTAGGACCCAAAATTGCCCTTTTAGGACCCAAAATCGGGTCTGGGGACCCCAAAATTGCTCTTTTAGGACCCAAAATCACAGCTGGGGACGCAAAATTGCTATTTTGGGACCCAAAATTGGGTCTGGGGACCGGAAAATTGCCCTTTTAGGACCCAAAATCGGGTCTGGGGACCCAAAATTGCCCTTTTAGGACCCAAAATCAGGTCTGGGGACCTAAAATTGCTTTTTTGGGACCCAAAATTGCCCTTTTAGGACCCTAAATCAGGTCTGGGGCCCCAAAATTGCTCTTTTAGGACCCAAAATTGCGGTTTTAGGACCCAAAATCACAGCTGGGGACCCAAAATCGGGTCTGGGGCCCCAAAACTGCTCTTTTAGGACCCAAAATCAGGTCTGGGGACCCAAAATTGATCTTTTAGGACCCAAAATCGAGTCTGGCGCCCCAAAATTGCCCTTTTAGGACCCAAAATCAGGTCTGGGGACCCAAAATTGCTCTTTTAGGAACCAAAATTGGGTCTGGGGACCCAAAATTGCTCTTTTGGGACCCAAAATTGCCCTTTGGGGACCTAAAATTGCCGTTTTAGGACCCAAAATGGGGTCTGGGGACCCAAAATTGCCCTTTTAGGACCCAAAATCAGGTCTGGGGACCCAAAATTGCTCTTTTAGGACCCAAAATCACAGCTGGGGACCCAAAATTGCCCTTTTAGGACCCAAAATCACAGCTGGGGACCCAAAATTGCTCTTTTAGGACCCAAAATCACAGCTGGGGACCCAAAATTGCTCTTTTGGGACCCAAAATCGAGTCTGGGGACCCAAAATTGCCCTTTTACGACCCAAAATCAGGTCTGGGGACCCAAAATTGCTCTTTTAGGACCCAAAATCAGGTCTGGGGACCCAAAATTGCTCTTTTAGCACCCAAAATTGCCCTTTTAGGACCCAAAATCGGGTCTGGGGACCCCAAAATTGCTCTTTTAGGACTCAAAATCGGGTCTGGGGACCCAAAATTGCTCTTTTAGGACCCAAAATTGCCCTTTGGGGACCTAAAATTGCCGTTTTAGGACCCAAAATGGGGTCTGGGGACCCAAAATTGCCCTTTTAGGACCCAAAATCACAGCTGGGGACCCAAAATTGCTCTTTTAGGACCCAAAATTGCCCTTTTAGGACCCAAAATCAGGTCTGGGGACCTAAAATTGCTTTTTTAGGACCCAAAATTGCCCTTTTAGGACCCAAAATCACAGCTGGGGACCCAAAATTGCTCTTTTAGGACCCAAAATCACAGCTGGGGACCCAAAATTGCTCTTTTAGGACCCAAAATCGAGTCTGGGGACCCAAAATTGCCCTTTTAGGACCCAAAATCACAGCTGGGGACCCAAAATTGCTCTTTTAGGACCAAAAATCAGGTCTGGGGACCCAAAATTGCTCTTTTAGGACCTAAAATAGCCCTTTTAGGAAGCAAAATCGGGTCTGACGCCCCAAAATTGCTCTTTTAGGACCCAAAATTGCCCTTTTAGGACCCAGAATCGGGTCTGGGGACCCAAAATTGCTCTTTTAGGACCCAAACTCGGGTCTGGGGACCCAAAATTGCCCTTTTAGGACCCAAAATCAGGTCTGGGGACCCAAAATTGCTCTTTTAGGACCCAAAATTGCCCTTTTAGGACCTAAAATTGCCCTTTTAGGACCCAAAATCAGGTCTGGGGACCTAAAATTGCTCTTTTAGGACCCAAAATTGCCCTTTTAGGACCCAAAATCGGGTCTGGGGACCCCAAAATTGCCCTTTTAGGACCCAAAATCACAGCTGGGCCCCCAAAATTGCTCTTTTGGGACCCAAAATAGGGTCTGGGGACCCCAAAATTGCTCTTTTAGGACCCAAAATCACAGCTGGGGACGCAAAATTGCTATTTTGGGACCCAAAATTGGGTCTGGGGACCCGAAATTGCCCTTTTAGGACCCAAAATCGGGTCTGGGGACCCAAAATTGCCCTTTTATGACCCAAAATCAGGTCTGGGGACCCAAAATCACTCTTTTTTGCACCCAAAAATGGCTTTTTTGGACCCAAAACCGGCCTTTTTGCACCCAAAACCCACCTTTTTCCACCCAAAATCGCCCTTTTTGGATCCAAAACTGGCACTTTTGGACCCAAATCCAGCCTCTTCGGACCAAAAAATGGCTTTTTCGAACCCAAAACCGACCTTTTTGCACCCAAAAATGGCTTTTTCAGACCCAAAACCGGCCTTTTCGCACCCAAAACTGGCATTTTTGGACCCAAATCCAGCCTTTTGGGACCCAAAAATGGCATTTTCAGACCCCAAACCAGCCTTTTTGCACCCAAAAATGGCTTTTTCAGACCCAAAATCGCCCTTTTCGCACCCAAAAATGGACTTTTTGGACCCAAAAATGGACTTTTTGCACCCAAAAATGGACTTTCTGGACACAAAACCGCCCTTTTCGCACCAAAACCTGCCCTTTTTGCACCCAAAAATGGCACCCCATTCCCCCCCATAGCACCCCATTCCCCCCCATAGCACCCCATTACCCCCTATAGCACCCCATTACCCCCCCATAGCACCCCATTCCCCCCCTATAGCACCCCA